GTTAATCAATTATTATAAAAAAATTAAAAAAAAGAGAGAGAGAGAAAAAGAATTAAAAAAAAAAAAAAAAAAAAAAAAAAAACTCCTGCTGCATCAAGCTCCCTTGCAGCTAGGACAGCCACATGGCCTGGTTCTGGCCAATGAAAAACAAGACAAGGGTTTCTGGGAACATTTTTGCTTTCCTGACAAAGGCACTGACCCTTCTTTCCCCATCTGGACTATGAAGGTAACACCTGGAGATGTGGCAGCCATCTTGCAACCACGAGGTGACATGGTTGATGATGAAGACCTACACCCTGACAGTGATGTTCTGCAGAGCCACCAGCTCCGGGTGTGAACGCTTCCCCTGGGACTCTTGTTACATGAACTAAACAAACCTTTCTCTGTCTACATGACTCCAATACGGTGTTTCTGTTACAGGTAGCCCAATTCATTCCTGATACAGTTGGCAATAAACCTCCTTCTCCGAGCACACGTGTAGAGCAGTAAGTAATGGGACCAGTTCTCTGGCATCCATATCAGAACCAGCTCCAGCTCTAAACCAGTGTCTTCTCTCTCTGACTGGAAGGAAGCAAAGAGGCCCCAGAGCCCAGGGCTGGCCTGGCCCCAGTCTTCCCTCTTAGCTCCCCCGGGAGATTCTCCAGCTGCTCCTCTGGCAGGATGCTCAGGAAGGGGTGGCTGGGTGGCCCGCCAGGGCGAGGCCGCCGTGGTCTAATTCCAGACAGCTGCTTCTGTCGGCGACAGCTTATCTGGCCAAGCAAAACCCTTGCAAAAGCTTAGGTGCTGTTGGGAGGAGAGTGGGGCTTGGAGACCAGGTGAGAGCCCACGCTCAGAAGTCCTAGGAGGGACTCAGAACCAGCCATTTGGGCTCAGTGGGTTAGTGCAGGTTCTCATCTGTGAGGAACAGCCCATAAGTTCCAGAGACAGCCTCAGTCATTTTTAAAAACATTCCCAAAAAATCATACACACTGGATTTTTTCCCCTTAGAAACAAACTTGCTGAGCAGAAAATTTAAACCATGCAGAGCCCAAGAAAATAACAATCCTACTTCTTCTGAATCAGCCAACCCCACTCTTTTTTTTTTTTTAGATTTTTTTGCTATAGGGCGTGTAAACTTGATGGAGACAGAGCAAGACCAAGAGAGACCGAGAGAGAGAAAGTTAAGAAATCATGCCCCAGAGGGGATGGCCACGCTGCAATGCCTTCTCCTTTATTCTCCTCCTGAGATTTTGGGTGTGCGGGCACGTGGGCCAGGTGTGAGTTTCAAGCCGCTGGGTCTGGAACTCAAATCACAGTCAGCCGCGTGGGAGTCCAGCACCTTAACCACAACGCCTCCCGCTGGCTCCAAATGACCCCACTCTTAGGTTACTTTATACCTTGGCTCTGAGAGTGTGTGTAAACAGCTACACTCACATCTGAGTGACTCTACTATCATGGATTTGCGCAAGAATTTAGGATTTTCATGTTTCACTTTACTTGAGGTGACGTGAAGGTGCTTTTCCTCCTGCTTTGTCTCACTGTAGCTCCCCAGGCACTAACAAAAGCAGCAACTGCCACCTTGCCATTGGCAGATGGGGAACGAAGGTTCCACTTTAACCACTCTTTCTTCTCAGGAACCGAACTCTGGGGCAGGCCTGGAGATGGTGGGGTACACGGTGCCAGGCCTGCCCATAGGAGTTACCATCCCCTCAGGGCCAGCCTGAAGCAGGGTCTCAAGGCCCACCCAAATGCATCCTGGGTAGAATCAAAATGTCTAAGGCAGTGTGGATGCTGGTACGCACTGAACGTGGGCTTGGAACGGACTCCAGGCCAGGGATGAGCCAGGACGCCTCTCTGATCCTCAGGCCCGAGCTGACAGGAGACCTCCCTCCAGGCAATGCGGATGTGGCCAGCTGGCTCTGGCATTCACCCACGCTTTGCCAAACGGTCACATTACACACAGTCTTCCTCGCATTATAATCTGGGTCCCTTCCTCCTCTTCCCCATTTCTAAACTGGCTCCTCAAACACGAAGGCCCCTCTCTGTATCCACTCTAGGAGAAAGAATTTCCCCCTCAGAAGACTTTGCAGAGGTCCTGGAGTCCTGAGGCCTGTCCCCTCCTTCTGCCTGGGTGAAGGAGCTGGGGATAGGTACAGCAGCCACCAGTCTGTCCTATCACCTCGATCCTAAAATCCTTGCCCAAGTTACTCCTAAAATGATACAATAGCATTTTTCAAAGCACTTTCCAATGTATGCCCTTCTTCTTCTTCTTCTTCTTCTTCTTCTTCTTCTTCTTCTTCTTCTTCTTCATTGGTAATGCTACAGAGTACATGCATGTGCACATGAGAGAGGAGAGAAACAGAAAGCACTCTCCACATGGTCTTATCATGCCATGATCTTGTTTCCCAGCCCTCCAGCTCCTCAGCATCTTGGGTGCATGCATGTGCATACCTATCATGGTTTCAGGTCAACCCAGGATTCGAACCTACGGTCATGCCTCATTGCAACTCTCAGTGCCTCTAGCACTGCAGTCCAGTATGCCTCGGACTGGGCTTGGGCTTATACTGTTATTCTAACCCAGCACCAGCCTTCTCTCAGAAGCTAGGAATACGATGGGCCGCAGTATCAGCATCTCCATTTTGTAGGTGAAGAAACTGAGGCACACACAGCAAAGTGGCTCATCAAAGCCACACAGATGAAGCCCCAACTTCCAATCTAATTTACCTTCATGGGCCCACACGCTGATCCCAAGACTAAAGTAGACAGGGTATGTGCAGGTGTCCCAGAACAGTCTCAAAGGCAGAAACCATACAAAACAAAAATGCCGGGATCAGGGGCAGTTAGGTCCCCTAAATTACAGTCATGGATCGGCCCAGGTCACATTATGGGACTTAAGCAAGTCCCTTAACGATGCCATCTTCATTTCCCACCTGCCTGGCTGTTCTGCAGGTGCAGGAAGTCGGAGATGGTGATGAGGCAACCGAAGGACCTCTGTCTCAGCAGCTCCGAGGACCTGATAAAGTCCACAGAAGCCAAAGACAGTCAGGAGGGGAGGCTGCTCCAAACCAAGTGGGTTTTCCTCACTTAGAAGGTGCTTAGCAAGATCAGCAGGAGACACATGGGGTGCTGCTTCTGCATGTGGGTGTCAGGGAGGAGATGGCTAAGGAGTTTTGACATAACATGGTAAGCGTTTAAAAGAAAAAAAAAAATCTCAACGCATACACAGAAGCAGCTACAAGTTTCCGAAGTGAGGAAAACCATGGTGATTAGCTGGAGGGAACTTAGCCGCCAACGCAGCAGAAAGCACCACCTGCTCTGACTAACAGGTTCCAGCTACTAAATGTCACTTGCTTTTCCACACCAACTTTTGCTTTTCCCAGTTGCCAGAAACCATTTTGGTGGCTGAGCGCAGCCATGTATTAGGAAAAGAGGGCTGAGATGTTTCTGAGCGACAGGTGGGACACACAAAGATCCATGAGAACGGAGCGAGAACTGTCCCCAGTGGGCCAGCAGGTGGCATAGTGGTTAAGGTGCTGGACTTCCAAATGGTTGAAGTCCTGGACCTGGTGACTTGAAATGCATGCCAGGTGAGCGTGTGTGCAAGCCCAAAATCTAGAGAGGAGAGACCAGCAGGTGGCATAATGTTACATGGCTAGACTCTTGCGTAGTTGACGGTAATTCAAGTTCTGGACCTGGTGACTTAAAACTCACACTGGGCATGTGTACGTGCAAGTCCAAAATCCTAAGAGGAGAATGAAGGAGAAGGGATTGCAGTGTGGACATCCCCCCCTGCGGGGGTGATTT